ATTCAGGTCATACAAAACAACAGCAACAACCCTTTAATCTTAAATCAAGACTTGCTCATACCTGTGTTTACCTCTTGAATTATCACTTCTTTGCAGCATTTAGCTGAATAAAATTGAAAGGACCACCTTTGAGGTAACATACCTCTTGAGCGTTCACAACATTTCACATTCATTATCCAGTAATTATGTAAGGTAGTTGTTACTATTATCATCCTCACTTTATAGGTCTCATATGGAGAGACAGTGGTTTTGTCTGAGGTTGTAATTCCTTATTTATCTGAACTTACCTTCATTGATGCTCATCAGTGAGGCTTTTGGGAGCCATGTACAGGATTGCACTCCAAGTAGTGTTTGAAAAAAGGCTTTCTCATGCATGTATGTTCAGAAGGAACTTCAATTTAAATGAATGAGATTTAAATGAATGAGATTTACCTTTGGAAAAGGTACACGTAGGACTGCAGCTTTAGCCACTAACCTCGACTTGTTTAACAGACTGGGATGTTGGAACAGGCTTGTGACATGCAAGAAAAGCAATATCCAAAATTGTTCCTTTTAACTAGGAAAAGTGAGGCAGCCATCTGAGGCAGCAAATATTTGGATGTCATGAAAGAACAGAAAGAAATTATTTGTTACTACAGGATGCATATCCCTCATGCGGTATTCCAAAAACCAAAATTGTTCAGATGGATGGCTGAGATAGTGACTTTTGCTTTCTGGTGGTTCACTGTCTTCATGCACAATATTATTCAAAATATAATGTATAAAATTACCTTCGGGTTACATTTATGAGGTGTCTACAAAACATAAATGAATTTCATGTTTAAACTTGGGTCCCATCTCCAAGATACCTTATTATGTATATGCAAGTATTCCAAAATCCAAAATCCCAAACATTTCTGGTCCCAAGCATTTCAGATAAGGGAGACTCAATCTATATTGTATTTTTACTCTCAGGTTTGGAGAAAGGTGCTTGTGAGATTTTCTGCCTTCTGTCTCTATTCAAACCAGATTGGCTGGCTTTGAGTAGAACTTATATCGGCATTGCAGAAATAATGCATTGCAGAAATAATGCAGTTTGACACTGCTTTAACAGCTGTGGATTTTAGATGCTGTAGATTTCTGGGATTTGTAGTTTTGTGAGATGTTCAACCTTCTATGGACGTTATCACACGGGGGAAATCTGCTGGTTAATCCACACAAATCTCAAACAGAAACTGGATTTGTGCCTCACGATTTCACACGACGTCGCACAGAAACTGGTGTTATCCGAGATCTTTTGAAATTCAGTAGTTTTGAGGAAATGCATTTGCAAAATTACAGTAATTTCGCATTTACCGTAATGTGAAAAGCAAATGCACATTTGGGAGCATTTCCCTGCTTTTCCCATGGTTCCAGCGACTACTCCTCTCTCTGCGCATGTGCAAGAAGATCATTTCTAGTACATTTATGAGCTTTTCTCACTTGTGTGTGAACGTTAAATGCGCTTACTGTAATTTCGCAATTAAGGTAATTACGTGTGAAAGCCATTTGCGGAATCAAGGTTTATTTTCGGTTTATTTTCGGAATGCCTCATTTCCACTTTATTATCGCTTTCTGGCCCACGTGTGATAATGTCAGAATTCCATAGCACTGAACTGTGATGGTGATGCAGTGCAGATGCAGCCTTGGGCATGGGTATCATTTGCTGCTCTGCAGTAAAATGTCTTGGCTATGGATGTATAAAACTACAATCGCCCCTCCGTTCTCGCAGACTTGAAGTCCGTGGTTTTGCATATTCACAGAGGGGAGACCTCCGCTAAAATCACACAAGCCTATGGGGCTTGAATATTGGTGAATCTCCATTTTCATGTTTTCTGGAACGGAAAAATGGAGGGCCGACTGTATATCATTTATCTTATGGGAAATAACTTCTTCTCTCTCTTTCAGTCTCATACACAGAGGACTGCTCTGTTGTTAGGTAAGATAGCATTGAGGAATAGGCACAACTGTGTTGGGGAACAAAGCTGAGTGTGAATATTCATCCAGCCAAGATATTCAAGGGTAGCCATGTTGCTGATATAGCAAAGTACAATAACATCCAAAATCCACAAAACAGTGATACTTTTATTCAGTCAACCAAAATGCACAATATACATGATGCAAGCTTTCAAAGCTCCACTGGCTTCGTCATCAGGCAAAGATGTTAAGAATCTTACAGGAGAAAAGAAAATACAAAATGACATTGTTAATCACAGGCTTGCATATTCTCATGGTGTTGTTGCTGTGTTGTTCTATGGAGGGATATCTAGGCAAGCTGTTCTTTCCTCCTGGCTGTGTGGCACAAAACATTCTAAAGTCCAGGAGATAAAATGTGAGTTCCATTAGCAATACAAAATAAGTTACTTTTTCCTGAGATCCAAGATGTCTCCATCCTTTGTGAGACCACAGCCCCCTTTGTTAGACAGAGAACACTGAATCCCTCAAGAGAAGTCTTTCTGCTTTTGCGTTAGGAAATGTTAGGTGTCGTTTTGGTAAAACATGCCAAATGTAGTGCCAATTTTTCAATCTATGTTTTACTTTTATTGAGGGTAACCCCAAATAGCAAAGTCCCAGTCCTTTGGCTCCCTCTTTAAGATCCCCTTTAGGCCTTCCTCTAGCCCATAGGCAACCTTTTTGAGCTGGGGGCCAGTCCCGCGAAGTCCCTCCTGCTGCTGGGCTGAGGGGGGGGGGGGAATGGCGGCACGCGCGTACCTCCACCATGCAGGCACGCCCCCACGCGCTCCGCCGCCGCTGCCTCCACGCGCACCCCAGCCGCCATTTTTATTTTCAAAATGGCAGCCGCGACGCGTTTACACATGAGCAGGAATACTGCGCATGCGCAAATGAGTCGCGGCCGCCATTTTGAAAATAAAAATGCCGGCTGCGACTCGTTTGCGCATGCGTAGTACTCCTGCGCATGCGCAAATGCACCGCAGCTGCCATTTTGATTTCCAAAATGGCAGTTGCACCGCGCACAGCCGCACGGCAGAAAAAACGCGCAGCAGTGGCAGCATGCGGCGGCGGCAGCAGCAACCTTCCGCCTGGGCTGGTAAGTCCGGGGACCTGGGCCTTAACCGGCCTGCGGGCCGTAGGTTGCTGGTCCCTGCTCTAGCCTATGGCTGTGGGGTGTGATGGAAGATGTTCACTGAGTCACTTTCTAGCCAGGTAACCGGTAAACTTGTACATGGAATGAGGTAGAAGCAGCCAGGTTGTCAAACGTCATCATACATCAGCCCTCCACACACACACACACACACACACACACACACTTTAAAAACAAAAAGTCTGTTCCTCTTTTAGGTTGCCGTGTTGGCCATATAGCAAAGTACAGTTCTGGCTATGTGGCACTGGCAACAAAGCATTGCAAAGTCTGGAAATATAATTAAATTCTACCATGATGTTAATGTTGTAAGCCGCCCCGGTTGCTTATGCAGAGGGGCGGGATAAAAATAAATTTTATTATTATTATTATTTACTTTAATTTCTCCAGACACATGGTCTCCACCCAAGCCACTTTCTCTCCATCTGAGGGGTGATAGTTGGGAGGGAAGGAAAATTGAGCCCTCTCTCTTTTTCCTTCCTAAGGGAAAAGGATTTAAATGGGGCATTACACAAAGGCTTGTTGTTGTTGTTGTTGTTGTTTGCCTTCCAGTCATTTCTGACTTCTGGCGACACTTAGGACCTTATCACATGGGGTCCAAAGCAGTCAGAACCCAAACGAAATCCTGACCTGATACGTA